AAGGTTGCAGGCAAGTGGCCGCGCGCGCAAGGCTCTTGCAGCCTCAGGATCCGCCCTCGCACTTCGGGCTGGGCGTCCCCGCGCGCGCGGCTGCGCTTTCTCTTTTCTCATGGCCAAGCGGCCGCAGGCGTGCCAGAGCGCGAGCGCGCGGGCCGTCTGGGCCCACGCGCTCGCGTCGGGCGTGGGCCGTCAGGGCCCACGCCCAGGTGGAGATGCGCGTCGCCACGCTGCCATGAAAATACCATCGCCCTGTCCTGGCCCCTCTCTCGTCCCCTCCTCTCCTCCTCTCCCTCCGTTGAGTGCGCGCGTATCTCACTTAACTTGCATAGTCTGATTGGTTGTAGACTGCAGGTTAAGTGGGAGGGGGTGTGGGCTCACGTAGCCATTTTGGGTCCGTAGCGTTCGGCTCTGGCCGACGCGCGGGTGCCCACCCACCCCGCTTTGCTCCCAGACGCCTGCGCGGGCCAAGCGGCCGCAGGCGTGCCAGAGCGCGAGCGCGCGGGCCGTCGGGGCCCACGCGCTCGCGTCGGGCGTGGGCCGTCAGGGCCCACGCCCAGGTGGAGATGCGCGTCGCCACGCTGCCATGAAAATACCATCGCCCTGTCCTGGTCCCTCTCTCGTCCCCTCCTCTCCCCCTCTCCCTCCGTTGAGTGCACGCGTATCTCACTTAACAGGTATTCGTCCAAGATTGCCTGGCCACGATGGAGAAGATTTCAGATGCATGTGCAACTATGGACCAGATCCTGCAGTAAAAATGCGACGAGTCGGGCGTTCCGAAGTTGCTTGATGTCCTCAAGTGGATCGACAGCTCCATGGATGAGATCAACAAGTGGGCAAGCAAATTCGGTTTTGCGAAAACGAAGGGCATGGCGCGCAAGCGCAAGGCTGTGAAACCCGCTGACGAATAGGACTGTGCGCCAGCGCGCCTGTCCTGCTCTTCACTCTTCTCTTCTCTTCTTTTCCTCCTCCTCCTCGCCCTCCATCGCGCCCCGCCTCCCCCCCCAGATCGCGGCTGGGCATGCCCCGAGGAAGCCGGCGCTGTTTTCGCAGTGAAGCTTCAGCCTGTTCGGTGCTCCTTGCCAGAGTTTGTTACTTACCAGCCTCTGTGCTTTGGGGTCGTGCCGCGTCAGAGCTGGAATCGAACCATGGATGAGATCGAACGAACGGATACGCCTGTGCACGTATCATCGTCGCCATCGTTATAGAACGCGCGTGTGCCGACGCCGACGGGGAGAGGGGCCCAGACGTTATGGGGTCCACGCTGCGACGAAAATCACGACGTCGGGGGTCTAGGGTCTGGGGGGGCTGGCCTTGGAGGTCTCCGGGGACCCAGGAAGGGTCAAATCCTGTAGACAGCCCAACCGTCGATGAAACACATATTGCACTATCGCCAACGCCATCATCTTTATCGTCACCGGTTACTGTCATCATCATTCTTGCCGTCATCTGCATTACCAATCAGCGTAATTACCAATGCTACTAACCACTCCATCAGGGCACGTTAAATATTCAATGACTGTATGTGCTGGTGCCTGCAATTGCGCCAGGTGCGCGGGCTGCTTGCACTCAGCGACGCTCGGAGATTGCAGCTGAGGCCGAAGCCCACAGGCAGCGGGCCACGCATCATCATCGGCCTCTTCCTCTCGTGCTGGGAACATCGACGAACGCATGGCTCGTCTCAGCGGTGGCATTCGCCAGAGGTTGTCCGGCCTGCAAGAGACTCCCTCTTCAAGTTCTTCTCAAGCGGCTGAAGCACCAATATTGCGGGACCTGAGGCGCAATTGGGCGAAAGGGGGTCATCGCGAGCAAGCAGGTGCAGCGCTGTGCCCTCAGATCTGCCCCATCAGGACCTGAACACCTAGGCAAAATTGCTGAAGTTGGCAACTCTGGAGCCAACTCGCAAATTCTATTTAGAGCAATGGTGGGTCTTCTCGGCATGCCCGATGGGTCGCCTATGTTTGACTGGTTCGAGCTATCGATGTTGAAAGGTCGCGAGGTTCGATCGCCCACTTATTCTTCCGCGCAATTTTTTTTTAATATTCGACAAAACCTGCTATTTGGCGTTGTGCTGTCAGTGGGCCGACAGGCGCTTGCTTCCAACTTAGAAAAAGTATGGAGAAAGGGCTGAGTTCGCGCGTTCCCATCCGATGCTTCCTCGGGCTGGATGGGGTAGGACTGTGCCCTTAGGCATGCGCGGTGACGCAAGAGCTTTCGCTGAACGCGATCCACAATGGGTGATCTCATGGAATGCGTCGGCGGGCGCGGGCGCAACCATCCAGAAACGATTTTTTGTACGGTTCTCCGTGCGTCGGAGATGAGCGTTGGCACGCTCAACGCGGTGTGGCGGATATTTGCGTGGAGCATGGGCGCGCTTCTTCAAGGGGAGACCCCGGCGCGTGATTTCAATCAGAGGCCGCTGGCCCATGGAGGTCGAGACCTCGCGCTGGGTGGCGGGGGGCGATGTGCCAGGCGCGGGGTGACCGGGCGTTCCATGCAGAGTTCTCCCACTTCCCCCAATGGAGCGAAGTGGGCAGGATGTGCCCGTTCTGCAGGGCGTCTGGAAGAGATCCCCACGCAATTTTCACGAATTGCAGGAAACGACGCTGGGTGGCGAAACGCAGCGTGGACGCGCGAGGAGTGCGTCGAGTTCCTCGGGCGAGCGGGCTTCGCCAAACCCGTTTAACTGACCCTTCTAATCGGGGTGAGATTGGAATGCGTCGCCCCAGATGTGTTGTGCACTGTTGATCAAGAAACCGCGAGCCACACCATCGGACATGTTTTTTGGCTCGTTGCAATCGTCAGAGTTGTCTTCGGGGGGAGCAACCAAGTGGAGAAAATGGCCAGGCTTGCTCGTTATCTTTCAGCGTGATATAAAGACACAACGGGAACCTGCAATAGCGATGGCAAGCTAACCTTGGAGAGGGCTCGGGCTAAGGGCGATTATCCAACACTGAGGGCCAACGCAGCGGCAACCTGTCATCTGGCGCCGTGCGCGTTGCTCCCGGGGACGACTCACGGCTGTGATTCTGACGAAGACAAGCTGCTTACCTCCATCTGTAAAATGCGAGTGAGGTTTTACGAGATCCTCGATGCCGAGTCGCAGTTCTGTTCAGCATCGGTCAGAAACGAATTGTCCGTTCTAAGGCAGCAGTTGGCTGAGTGCTACATGGCCCGATCTTCCAAAGCACTCGACCTCAATGTAAAGATGTACGAATTCGTTCCGACATTCCACTTGTGGGAGCATTTGACAGAGATATGCCCCGCCTTCATGGGGAATACCCGTTATTTCTGGACGCATTCTGATGAAGATTTGGTTGGGCTTGCCATCGGTATTGCTGGGGGCGTTCACCCATCGACGTTGGGTTCCAGTGTGCTCTTTAACTGGCTTCACTGGCTCTTTGCAAGCTGCGCCAGAACAGCAAAACAAAAGACCACGATGAAATGCGAGGGAGAGAAAGGAAGGAGGAGGCTGGGATCATACCGTGGAGACGTCACGGGCATAATGTTTCTGTTGTTGCTAGCTGATAATGACTGACGCGAGCGAACCATTAGCGAGGGAACTCGCACATGCCCCCGCGGATGCGGACAAGAGCGACGGGGAGGGGGGGCGAGGGACAATGTAAGACCGTTCGGCCCCTCTCCCTCGTTCGGTTGTGATCATATATGGCACGCGCTGCACGCAAATTTACATGCAACATTTTGATGTACACATATGCATATGCAGCCACTGCATATTACAAGTTTGATGAATCACCGAATATGTACGTTTTAACATCAGTATATTGTCCGTCGTTTATATGCTGAATTAAGCTTCTATGTAAACTCAGCATGTGCATCAACTGGCGCTTACACATACATAATTAATTAATCATTCATGCTTTTTTCTTTGCAGCGGGTGAGCCACTGGGCAGTTTTCGCGCATTTGGTGAGCGGCCATGGGCAGCTGGCGCCGCTCAGCGGCGTCAGGCGCAGGTTGCGCAGCGGCGCCGCTGGGCCGCCCGCGGCAGTCGGCGCGCCCGCGGCCGCGGGCGGCGCGGCCACCCCGGTGCGCCCGCTGCCCTTGGGGCCGTTCGCTGAAGATGGCGCGGAGATAGTTCCCGGCCGCGCCGCCATGTTTGGCCGCGCTGGCTGAGCGGCCTGCCTCGTGAGATGGCCCGGCGTGGCTCGTCGCCGCGAGTGTGGAAGGCGCCGAGACCATGGGCATGGAGGTCTCGTAGCGCGCGGGGGACATCGCGGTCACGGCGACGGACGCCCTTGTCTTTCGGCATGGGGGCTTTTTGCGGGCGCGGGCCGTGGGCAGCTTCGACTGCGTCGAGTTCGTGCGCGGTCTCAGGGCCCGCTGCGCAGGGCTGGCCGCCCCCGCTGGCGCCGCTGCCCCTCGGGCTCGTTCTGAAGGCGAATCTGAACTCCGTGGAGACGATGTCCGCGCCATGTGGGTTGACTTCAACGAGGCCAGCGATCGTTTCGAGAGCTGGAGGAAGGCCGCGCAGGGGGGCGTCGCGGGGCCCATCACCACCATCGAGGTACAGGGATCTCTGCATCTTGCTCGCCGCGCCGGGCGGCGCGGAGGTGATGTTATCCGTGGCGGTGGTGGCAGGAGTTCGCTCGCCGCAGCGACGCGAGCAAGACGGGCCGTGTTTTTTTTTTCATGCGATGGCCAGTTGCAGTAAGAGTTTCACGCCGGCGCCAGCGTCGGCGCCGGGGGGGGGTGGAACCCCCCCCTCCCTTGGGGAGGGGGGGGGGGAGTTCGGGAGCAGGGGAAGTCAGGGGGGGAGTCCCCGTGGTTCTGATCGACGGCGCCGACTGTTTGGGGCCCCCCCCCCGGTTCGAAACGCGCCGCCGAATGTTCCCGAGGCAAGCGCCCATGAAACGCGTTCTCTCAGACACAAGGATACAGATCCCCTCTGTCTCTCTCGCTTCCTCCCTTCCCTACCTTTCCCTCTCTCCCTTTCTCAGTTTCTTTATGTCTCGATTTCTCCTCAAAAACAGCGGCAACCCAGCTCGACCTACCCGTGCAAGTGCGGTGCGGCGGGGACGACGGTCTGCTATGAGAACGAGGTATGCGACGAGCCGTCCGGCACGTGCAAGTACCGGCCAACGGACCGGGAGGAACGTGCTTTCATCCGCATTGCCCTCGACCATGCGCTCCTCCATCATATCCTGTTTTTCCTGTTGCGTTCGGGAGGATGCACTCTTGTCTTCTTGGGCACATGCCCCTTGACCAGGGGATTGCACTATCATGTCTTTCCTTTTCCTCCTGTCCTCCGATCTCTTATCCCACTCTTCGAATTGCCGCTCTCTTCCACGTCCTGCAGGGCCGCCCGCGCTCCTTGTCAGCCTCAGCTTGCCGGCCGGCCCCATGGCTTCGGAGGGCGCCAATTATTATACTCCTACACCGATCCTGGGTCCAGTGCCTTGCTGGCCAAGCCAGCAAGGCGAATGCAGTTGCCACCGTCCTAGGGCTGGGAGCTGTAGCTTCGGCCCCGGGGAAGGCGGGTTACCGCGGGAGGGGGCGCTGCCGCTTCCTCGTCTTCGTCCTCAACGACGGATTACGAGTACTACTCTCCTCGCCCCCCTTACGCTGTCTGGATGGTCTCTGGCCCTCTCTGCTTATTGTTTTTTATATAGGATTTGCAACGTTGATGTTTCTCATGCTTTGTTTTACAATCCACTTGTTGCCAGTGTTTCAACATGCTGCTCCCGCTGCATCTTGGGCCTCATTTTCGGATCAGCGCTTTGCCCCCGTCGTTCAGAATGGCGCTCTCGCCCCACTGCGGGCCACTCTTCTGGATCCGAATTCTTTTCCATCGGTGTCGCCCCCTTCATTTTCCCTTGTCCACCTTGCTCTAGCCCGCCTGCTCCTCCAATTCCTTCCGCTCCAGTTCCTGCTGCTGCTGCTGTTCGTCCTCGTCCTCCTTCTTCTTATCATTATTATTCGTCTTCTTCTTCTCCATCATCGTCATCATCGTCATCGTCATCATCATGGTCATTGTCATCATCAGCACCAGCATCAGCATCAGCATCAGCATGACCACCATCATCATCATCATCATCATCACCATCAGCATCAGCATCAGCATAATCATCATCCCCATCACCACCACCATCATCATCATCATCATCAGCATCATCATCATGATCATCACCACAATCATCATCATAATCATAATCATCATCATCGTCATCGTCATCGTCATCGTCATGGTCATCGTCATCATCAGCACCAGCATCATCATCAGCATCAGCATTCCCATCATCATCATCATCATCAGCATACTCATCATCACCATCACCACCATCATCATCATCATCACAATTTTCATCATAGTCACCATCATCATCATCATCATCATCATCATCATCATCATCATCATCATCATCATCATCGGCATCGTTATCGTCATGGTCATCGTCATCATCAGCACCAGCATCAGCATCAGCATCAGCATCAGCATCAGCATCAGCATCAGCATCAGCATCATGATCATCACCATCATCAGCATAATCATCATCACCATCACCACCACCATCATCACCATCACCATCATCATCACAACCATCATCATAATCATCATCATCGTCATCATCATCACCATACTCATCATCAGCATCATCCATGTCCTTCTGTTCATCCTCCTGCTCACCCGCCACGTCCTCCTATGGATTCAGTTTCAGTGTTCCGATTGCGCATACCACGATGGGGTTTTCTGTTTGAGTTCGAGGTCGGCTATGACACGCGTCCGCGAAAACACAAAACATCAGCGCAATGGGAAGGGATGGGAGGGAGGGATAGGATTTTGAATATGGCGCGAGCCCACCTAGCTTGTGCTCGCCCCTCTCCCTTGTCCTTCTTTACTGCTCAGCAGTCTCTTCCCCTCCGCCCCCTCTTCTCCTTCCTCCGCAGCTTGGGCCCCGCATTTCTCTTTGCGCCCTCAGGCCGCCCCTTGGCCAGCGCCAGCGAGCGCAATGGCGGGCCAGCTCGCCTCGCCAGCCGGCCCGTCGCGGCTGCGGCCGCGGCTCGCGCGGCGGCCCCGCTGCGCTTCCGCGGCGGCGGCAGCGGCGGCGGCAGCGGCGGCGGCGCCCCGCGGCGCCGCCTTCGCGGCCCCGCGTGCAGGGGCACGGCGCAGGCCCGACCTGGCGCGGCGCGGCGCTGGCAGCGCTTCCGCCAGCGCCTCCGCGGTGGCCGCCGGCGGGGCGCCGACAGGGCGCGCGGCGCTGCTGGCGGGGTGCGCGGCGGCGCTGCGCGCCGCAGGGGGCCGCAGCCGCGGCGCTGTGGCGGTGAGGGCGGAGGACCCGGCCCTGGCCGCGGCGAGGGCGGCGGCGGAGACGGCCAGGCTCCGCCGAGCAAGACTGGGCAGGGGGGGAGGAAGAAGCAGGAATGCGCGCGATGCTGGGGCAGTGTGCAGTCACGCCGAAGACGACGCCGATGGCGACGCCGATGGCGACGGTGGTGGTGACGGGACGGGGAGGAGGAGGAGAAGGTAGATCAGGAGGAGGAGGAGGAGGAGGAGGAGGAGGAGGAGGAGGAGTGGAGGAGGACGGAGGAGGAGGAGGAGGAGGAGGAGGAGGAGGAGGAGGAGGAGGAGGAGGACGGAAGAGAGGAGGAGAGTAGGAGGAGGAGGAGGAGGAAGGAAAAGTCCGACCGAGCGAAGCTTGGCTGGGAGGCGGTGCCCCCCCGCCCGAGCAACCGCCGCCGCGGGAGTACTAGGAGGAGGAAGAGGAGGAGGAGGAGGAGGAGGAGGAGGAGGAGGAGGAGGAGGAGGAGGAGGAGGAGGAGGAGGACCAGTGTAAACCGTTGTAAGACAACCGTTGTAAGACCCTGAAGCATGCCAAAACATTTTTCTCGGTATTCCAACGCCACGGATAAAACTGATTGTCGCGTTTTGAGGAGTGGGAGGAGGGGGAGGAGGAGAAGGAGGAGGAGGAGGAGGAGGAGGAGGAGGAGGAGGAGGAGGAGGCGGGGGGGGGGGAAAGGAGGAGGAGGAGGAGGAGGAGGAGGAGGAGGAGGAGGATGAGGATGATGATGAGAGGAGGAGGAGGAGGAGAAGGAGGAGGAGGAGGAAAAGGAGGCGCGGAGGGGAGGGAGGCGGAGGCGGAGGTGGAGGAGGAGGAGGAGGAGGAGGAGGAGGAGGAGGAGGAGAAAGAGGAGGAGGAGTCGGCGGAGGCGGAGGCGGAGGCGGAGGCGGAAGCGGCGGAGGAGGAGGAGGAGGAGGGGAAGAGGAGGAGCAGGAGGAGGAGGAGGAGGAGGAGGAGGGAGGAGGTGGGAGGAGGAGATCCCGGTGTAACTTGAGAACCCGTCGGCGTCCGTGATGTGGCATGCGCCTCCGTTGGTACCTCTTCTTGGCCTTTCTGAGTGCCACGCTCATGCGGTGGATACGTGTCACTTTGGGACCCCGCGGCGAAAGAGAGCAAGACTAGCTATGTGGAGCGCTAACTTCCATCCTCATCCCCATGTTCGCTGTGCTGGTGGAGGCGCCTGTGCTCCGTGACAGGCAAGCCGAACCTTGTGCTCGAGGAGGTTGACCTGGGCTCTGGGAAGAAACGTGCGGCGGCGGCGACATCGTACCCGAAGCGATTGTGCAAGGCGCTGGCGCGCACCCTCCGCCTTGCGGCCGAAAACAATCTCAGCCGGAATAAACACTCTTGGGCGTTGGGGGTGAAGCCTGCCGATTTTCCCCTGCAGGCTAGCTCTTCTGGGTTTGAAATCTGGACTTTTTGAGTTCGGCCGTGCGGCCAGTTCCACCTTTCGGGCTCGGGCCTAGACGAAACCCTCGTCTTTGTTTGAACGCTCATGTTTCGTCTGCGTGGTAGCTCTCCGCTCGCCTATTGAGCTCGCCGTTCAGCCGGGTGGACCACGCAGACAATCTTGCGCAGTATCGCGGGTCGATCCTTGGCGCGTGGGGGGGGATGGTGGACGTATCTATCGATCTATCTATCTATCTATCTATCTATCTATATCTATCTATCTATCTATCTATCTATCTATCTATCCATATATGTACCCAAACATATTCATATACAGTTGCATGTACACTTACATTTACCTATACATACATACACACATATATATATACATACATATATATATAGATATATACATGTGGGTATAATACATTCTCAAGATCCCCCCGCGCAGTTGACTAAATATCAATGTTGCGTGCGGCTCCCCGAAACACCCGTCCGTTTGAAGTTGCATGAATCTTGAGGGGACAGCTTCCGTCTCCAAGAAGACACCCGGTACTCAACAGCTTCCGTCTCCAAGGCAGCACCCAATACTCAACATGCTCCCGATGCAAGAGAGAATCCGTAAGGGGGCGATTCACATCCCAATCCGCAGGCCCAACGCCCGCCCGCCGCTTGCCCGCCCGCCTTCCGCGTAGCACGCACCACCTTATATTCAACAGCGTCCGTTTTCCAAAACAACACCTTGTAGTCAGCGCCTCCGTTTTTTTAAAATAATATCCAGCAATCAACAGGTTCCCGCTGCAATAGAATATCCGTAAGGAGTCTATGAACATCCCAGCCCGCCCGCCCGCCCGCCCGCCCGCCGCCTGCCTACCCGCCCGCCCGCCCGCCCGCCCGCCTTCCGTGTTGCACGCACCAGTTTGTACCCAATAACTTTCACCAGCCTCCGTTTTCAAGACAACACTTTGTAGTCAACGCCTTCCGTCTCCACGACAACACCCAATACTCAAAAGGCTCCCGCTGCAAGAAATAATCCTTAAGGAGTCTAGTATAATGCCGACCCGCCTGCCCGCTGCCCGCCCGCCCGTCCGCCGCTTGCCCGCCCGCCTTCCGTGTAGCATGCGCCACCGTGTACTCAACGACCTCCCGCTGCACGAGAGAATATTTAAGGAGTCGGCTCAAATCCCGACCCGCCAGCCGCCCGCCCGCCTCCCTGCCCGCCCGCCCCCCCGCCCTTCCGTTCATCACCCCATAATTTCCCTCTCCGCCCACATCACCCGCTCCACCCATGCACACGATTTCAAGATTTTGGCTTTGGGACAACAGGTCGGCGGATCTTGAATTGGCTATACCGAAATATAAATCTATATAAGTGATGCGATCTGTGTTGGTCCATCTGTGTTGGCCAGCATAGGTGGTGCGGCCTGTGTTGTGCTGTGCTCTATATATGGTGCATTTAGGTGGAACGATTTATGCTGAGCAATCATACTGGTGCAATCCGTGTGGGGCAAGCTACGCGGTGCAATCTATGTGGCCCGATCCATGTTGTGCTATTTTGTATCGCCACATAGGCTGTGCGATCCATGTTGTGCAACCAAGTGGTGCAATCCATAAGGATACAACATATGCGGTGCAATGTAGGTGGCGCAATAGATTCGGCGCGCTGTATGCGGTGCAATCTCTGCGAGGCGGCGACGGGGCGGCGGCGGCGGCGTCGGCGGGGCGGAGACGGCGAGCACGGCGCCGCCAGACCAACCGTCAGGCCCAGACGACGGGTGGCGACGAGGCGGCGACGGGCCGGCGACGGCGAGCACGGAGCTGCCAGATCGCCCGTCAGGCCCACCGGACGCGCGGCGACGAGGCGGCGTTTGGGGGGCGACTGCGAGCACGAAGCTGCCAGACCGCCCGTCAGGCCCAGCTCCTCGGAACAGAAATATGAACCCCTAAGTGAAACATTGTATTGGGACCGACTTCTACTCTGCTCTCTCTGTCCCTCTGCGCGTACTGTTTTTACAGTCAGAATATCAGCATGTGTTGTTTGTTTTTTCCAATCCCATTGTTTTCGGTGTTTCAACATGGTGTTCCCGTTGCAGCGTGGGTCTCGTTTTCGGATCGTCGTTATGCTCCCGTCGTTCAGAGTGGTGCTCTCGCCTCAGCGCGGGCTACTCTTCTTGATCCGAGTCCTTTTTCATCGATATCGCCCCCCTCATTTCCTCTTCTCCTCCTTCCCCTGGTCCTGCTGCCCTTCACTTCTTCCACTTCAGTTCATTATGCTGCTGTTCGTCCGCGTCCTCCTTCCTCATCTTCCTCGTTTTGCTCCTGCTCATCTTCCTGCTCACACCCGCAACCTCCTCCCTGCTTGTGCACGCAGCCGCCCTTGTCCGATTGCGCATAACACGATGGGATCCTGTTTGGAGTTCCAGGTCGGCTAGATAGAGAAAACATCAGAGCAATGGGAAGGGATGGGAGGGAAGATTGGGACATCAGATTTGGTGCGAACGCACCTGGCTTGCCCTCCCCCCTCTCTTCTCCTCCCCTCCCATTCCCCGCCCGCCCCTCGTCCACCCCTTCCCCCCCCCCTCCCCTCCTCCCCCCTCCCCCCTCCTCCCCCTCCCCCCCCCCTCCCTCCTCCCCCTCCCCTCCCCCCCCCTCCCCACTCCAGGCTCGAGCTGGAGGCGGCGAAGCTGCGGGCGGAGGCCGCGGAGCTAACGCGGGCCGCGGGCGAGGAGCGCAGGACTTCACGCGCGGGGGCGCTGCTGGCCGGCACACGGAACTCCGACGGCAAGTGGGGGGGAGCTGAAGGGCCGGGGCGGAAAGGGTGCGAGGGGAGGAGGGAGGAGGAGGAGGAGGAGGAGGAGGAGGAGGAGGAGGAGGAGGAGGAGGAGGAGGAGGAGGAGGAGGAGGGTGAAGAGGAGAGGAGGAGGAGGAGGAGGAAGAGGAGGAGGACGGGGGGAGGAGGACGGGGGGAGGGGGGGGAGGAGCGAATCTCAGGCTTTTGTGATGAGGAGGGTTCTCAGGATTTCGCGAGGAGGGTGAGGATGCGGAAGAGGAAATGAGGAGGGGAAGGAGGAGGGGAAGGATGAGAGGGAGGCGGTGCAGGATGTGTCTCAAGTTTTGGCGTCCTCGGATCGGCGGAATCATCCCGATGTCGATCGTCCCCCCGGGCGCTCCTGGCGAGCCAAGCGTTCTGCGCCAGAGCGCATTTGAGCAAGGGTGGACCGCGACCGCGGCCACCACATTGCAGGTTTTGACGCTGGTGTTTTGGTACACCAGGTGCGGGCAGAATTCACCAAATTGGCAACAGAGTGCCCTGAAAGGCACTGGCTACTAGAGCTGGCTCACCTCTTCCACACCCTGTTGACATCAGGGCCAGTCGTCTGATGTTCCCGATGTGCAGCGCACGGCTCGCACTAGACAGTCAACCGTAAGAAGCCCTGTCCGCCGTGGACGGCTGGCAAGCAGGGAGCGCAGAAGTCGCTCAAGCAGCTCAAGGCAGGCAAGGACCCCTCCTCCAAACTGTGGGCAAGGCGTCTCCCCCCTGCCTCTTGAATCGTGCTCTTGTTCTGCTGTTTCTGTGTTGCGTTGAGTCTCGCATCGCGGGACTTGCTGCGCCACAGGCTCCGACGCTCCGAGGAGGAGGATGTGGAGGAGGAGGCGGAGGAGGAGGAGGGGGAGTAGGGGAGGATGGCGAGGATGGGTCGTGGTAAAGGAGGGAACAGGAGGAGCGGGGGAGGGGAAGGGGGGCATCAGGGACATGCCCTCTGCGCGGAGACATTCCTTGACATCCCGTGGCAGGATTTGTTCATTCCAGGGCCCCAGAGGTCCCGACCGCTTCCCTGGGGGTGATTTTCTTCCTGGTCAATGTGTGATGGCCCCTCGCCTCAAAACGGGCCTCGGAGACCGAGATCGAGGGGAAAAGCTTGGCTGAAACAATCAGATCGCCAGAGATTTGGGGTCGTTTTGGTCCTCTCCGCTGGCCGCTCGCCAGGCTCGTACGCCGTGAGCCCCGCGGAGCTCCCGGCTCGCCTGAGCGCGGTGTCCAACTTCGAGCCGACCGAAGCTGAGGTGGATCGTTTTTCGTATCGTTTTCGCGCAGGGTGACGACGACGACGAGGAGGAAGAGGAGGAGGAGGAGCATGAGGAGGACGAGGATGATGAGAATGATGAGGATGAGGATGAGGATGAGGATGAGGATGAGGATGAGGATGAGGATGATGATGATGATGATGATGATGATGATGATGATGATGATGATGATGATGATGATGATGATGATGATGATGGTGGTGTTGATGATGATGCTGCTGATGATGATGATGCTGATGCTGATGTTGATGCTGCTGATGCTGCTGCTAATGATGATGCTGACGACGACGGCGACGACGACGATGATGATGATGATGCTGATGGTGATGATGATGATGATGAGGAGGAGGAGGATGACGACGACGACGACGACGACGACGACGACGACGATGATGATGATGATGATGATGATGATGATGATGATGATGATGATGATGATGATGATGATGATGATGATAATGATGATGATGGGTGGTGGTGATGGTGATGATGCTGAGGGTGAGGGTGAGGATGAGCATGAAGATGGGAATGGGGATGGGGATGACGATGCCAAGTTTTCTTTCGTAAAAAGACAATGATTGTTGATTGTCCTCCTTTCAGCGCCTTGCGCCTCAGATTTTACTGTTGGCCCCTGGTTTGCAGCATTGACGGTCTTACAATTGATTGCGGAATCCGCGCAGAGATGTTATTCAAACTCGCGCTCTCGCACGGCATTTCCTCACAGTTTAGATTGCCTGAGATTTTGATCAAAATCGCGCTCTCGCGCGGCACTTCCTCACACAGCATGCAGGAGTCCTGTTCTCGCATGAGACTTCCTCGCAACTTATCAAGTCGCCGCGCCCTCGACACTCGAGAATCACGCTCTCGCGTTGGACTTCCTAACGATTTACTTGGGAGTCGCGCTATCGCTCGAGACCTCCTCGCGATTCATGCGGACTGACGCTGCAGCGACCCGCCCGCCCGACCTGGCCGTCTGGGCCCGCCCGCCCGACCCGCCGATCTGGTTTTGCAGCTTATTTTCCTGCTCCTGGAATCCCCCTCCTGCAAATCTCTCTTGTACTGTATCCTTTTCCCTCCCCCTTGTCCCTTCCCGCTTCCCTCCCTCCCCCCCGTGTTGGGGGCTGCATCAACTACACGTGCCAGGTAAGGAAGATATACCCCCAAGGGGAGTACGATCGAAGACCCAGATTGTGGATACCGAGCGCTCATGATTTATATGTTGAGTGAAACGCGAGCACGTGGTAGCGAGCAGTCCTTACATGATTGTTGTTGTTGCTGGTGGTGGTAGTGACGACGACGACGACGATGACAGTGACAATGACGATGGTGGTGATGGTGATGATAACACTGACGATGATGACGAAGAAGAGGAGGAGGGCCATGATGATGGTGGTAATGATGATGAGGATGACGATGATGAGGATGAGGACGAGGATGCTGATGCTGATGCTAATGCTGCTGATTATGATGATGCTGGCGGTGATCATGATGGTGGTGGTGCTGGTGATGGTGATGGTGATGGTGATGCTGCTGCTGCTGATGATAATGATGCTGACATTGACGACGATGCTGAGGAAGATGACGAGGCAGATGACGATGCGGATGGCAACAACGACCAGTACGACCAAGATGGCTATTGTATTGGTGAGGGCGAAGACAATGCCTATGGTACAGTGGTTAAGAACATGAGTGTTATGGCGATTAGGATGCTGGTGGTGAGGATGATGGTGGTGGTGGTGGTGATGCTGATGCTGATGAGGATGAGGATGAGGATGAGGACGAGGATGAGGATAACGATCGTGATGATGACGATGATGATGACGGTACTAATAATAATGATGATGCTGCTGATGATGATGATGCTGATGATGATGCTGATGTTGGTGATGTTGGTAATGTTGGTGATGATGTGATGATGATGATGATGATGATGATGATGATGATGATGATGATGATGATGATGAGGACGATGATGAGGACGATGATGAGGATGGTGATCAAGATGATGATGCTGATGATGCTGATGGTGATGATGATGCTGATGATGACGATGTAGATGAGGATGAGGATGAGGACGAGGATGAGGATGATGATGTTGATGATGATGATGATGATGATGATGATGATGATGATGATGATGATGATGATGATGATGATGATGATGATGATGATGATGATGATGATGATGATGATGATGATGATGATGATGATGATGATGATGATGATGATGATGAGGATGAGGATGAGGATGAGGATGAGGATGAGGATGAGGAGGAGGAGGATGTGGATGTGGATGTGGATGAGGAGGAGGAGGAGAAGGACGAGGAGGAGGATCAGGCGGAGGAGGAGGAGGAGGAGGAGGAGGAGGAGGATAATGAGGAGGACGAGCAGGGACATCGGTGAGGGAAGGAATCGATGAATCGAACAAGTACGAGGAGAGTCGAGGTGGCGCGGCTCTGCGCCGCCGTTGGGCGGCCTGGGGCCGCCCTGGGGTACGAGGAGCTTGCCAGCGTGGCGTTCGACTCCGAGCTGGAGAGGACCAGCCCGTCACATCTTTGTCCGCGCCGCCGTCGTCGCCTCAGCCGCCTTTGTCGGCGGGTAGTGTCGCCGACGTCGGCGGTGGCGTCGTCGTTTGCCGACGCGCTATGATAGAGGGTGGGCGAGTGGGAGAGGGAGGCGGAGTAGTGAAAGGAATGGGGGGGGGCAGGAGGGGCAGGAAGGAGGAGTATGGTGAGGGGGAGGGAGGAGGAAGAGGAGGAGGAGGAGGAGGAGGAGGAGGAGGAGGAGGAGGAGGAAGGAGGCTTATGGCATGGACGTCTCTCCTCCTTTGCCTCCCTCTCCCCTTCCCTCCATCCCTACACCCTAAGGCTAGCGAGGGGTCGAGGAGGCGGGCATGGGCGCAGGTTCCCGTCCTCGTGGGTGAAGCGTCGGGTCCTCGTGGGCTCAGGCCGATCTCTGGATCGCTTCCGGGATCCATCTCCTCATTTTTTCTGAGGCGGACGCGGTCGTGGCGACAAGAAGCCTCCAGGAGACCCAGGAAGGGCAGACAAATAATGCCAGAGAGAGCCGCCGTTGCCTCTACGACGTGGCCCTCCGAGGGGCGTGGGCGCAGGTTTTTGTCGTGCCCGGCAGGATTGTCGCCGACAGGCGGCAGCAGGAGGCCCAGAGGCAGGCCCAGGAGCGGGAGGCGCAGGCGGCGGCCGCCGCGCAGGCCGATCGGTATCTGGGACGAAGACGCGACGCCTCCTCTCTTGGAGCCGTACGGGGATCGGAGGTGGCCCAGCACAAGTTCTGGCCAGCAGGAAGGGCGGGCAGGTTCGAGGTTCTGGGTTCGGGAAGGTTTTTTGTCTTCTTCGGCCCCGGGAGGGGTCCGGAGACTGATTTTCAGCGGATTTGGCCTCATCCCCCCCTCCTGACCGATTTTCTGGGGTGCCAGCCAGTTCAGATCCCCGGGCCGCCTCCAATTTCTCTCTGCCCTCGTCGTCTCCAGGCCGCCCAGACGGGGTCGAGGCAGATGGGGCAACGTTAGACGTTAGGGGGGGATGGGCTCAAGGGGTGGGTTTTCGTCGGCTCTCGGCCGGCGGCTCTCGGCGGTTTTCCAGCCTCGGGGTGCTCTCCAGCAGCTCGCGCCTCGCCGAGGGCGCTCCGGGGGTGGCCGGACCGTCCCGGTCCCGAACGGCTGCACGAGAGCCGAGTTGTGACCCCAAAGCCACGGGACAACGTTAGGGCGTGATGGGCTCATTTTGGGATGCGTAAGCCCCAACCGCCCACTCATCGCCAATAGGGGTCGAACAGTCCACCCCGCCCAGCAGCGTGCGGATTTGCCATCGGGGGCCCCTCGCCAATCTATCGGCGATGCATCGCCGCTTCGTGGTCGATGTTCCCCTCTCCCCCCTTAGATGGTCCCCCCTTCAAGGTAGATTGGTGCGGTTGATCGCGCCACATCGCCGATGCATTGGCGATGCGGCTGGATGCTCGGCATCTGGGGCCGAAGTCCCGATGCCTCCTCCCTCCGCTCGTCGTCTCCAGGCCGCCCAGATTTCCTGGGCGGCCAAGAGGGGGGTTAGGACTAGGTGGAGGGGGTGAAATGTCATGGCGGGGGCTGTGATACCACCGCGGGTTTCATGGTCCCCCCTCTTCTTTCAAATGTTAGCCAGCGCGGACCCCAAACTGTTTGTTTCTAGCAATATATGTTGTGCAATCTCAGTTGAGCGATCTCTGTGAAGCAATGTACGTGGTGCAATCTATGTTGTGCAAGTCACTTTGACTGTCTTGAAGCTGTCCTCTCCACTGCTCGTGCAAACATCCCACCCTCCCACCCACAACTTGGTCGCAAGACCTCTGAAGACCTCTGACGGTAGGTACCACATGGCACTTGGCAACGACGCCGGCGACGACAGCGACAACGACGACGCCGACGACGACTGCGACGACCGACGACGACTCCGACGACTCCGACGACTTCGACGACGACGACAATGACGACGACGACGACGACACCGACGACGACGACGCCGACGCCGAATGACGACGATGACGACGCCGACGACGACGCCGACGACGACGCCGACGACGACGAAGACGACGACGACGAGGTCGCCAACGAAGACGACGAGGAAGGATGTAGGACGACGACGGCGACAACAACGAGGGAGGCGGGAGGACGGTGACGACGCGAACGACGAGGGAGGAGGCAGGACGGCGACGCCGACGACGACAACGACGAGGGAAGACGACGACGACGCCGACGACGACGACGACGACGACGGCGACAAAATTGTAGGGACGACGACGAGACGCCGACGACGGACGACGACGACAACGACGAGGGAGGAAAAAGGACAATCACGACGACGGCGACGACGACGATGACGAGGGAGGAGGGAGGACGGCGACGACGACGACGGACGTCGCAAGAGCACGCGCGCACGCTTTTATTGAAAATCCGTGTTGCGAAATCCTGTGTTTTGTTTGGACACTCGATTTTGAAATCCTTCCGAATCCGAAGGTTTTTTGAAGGATTTCGGCATGCCCGCGCGACGACGCGCGCGCGTGCAATTCGTTTCGTTTTTTGCAGAGGATTTTCGCGACGGCACGCGCGAAAGTGCGTTCGAACGATTCCGACATGCGTGCGCGAATTCGCTTGGTAGTTTTCGCTGAAAATGTGTTCGGTAGTATTAGTATTAACATACTGTTTTCGGAAGAATTCGCAAGAGCGCGCGAGCGTGCTTTGTTTTGAAAATCCGCGTTGCGAAACCATGTTTTTTCTATGTTTTTTTGAAACTCGATTTTGACATCCTTCCGAAACCGACGGTTTTTTGAAGTATTTTGGCATGCGCGCGCGACGACGCGCGCGTGTGCGCTTCGTCCGGTTTTTGCACGGCTTTGTAGAACATTTTGATTTTTGATATACGAGTGCGTGCGCATCGTATTTTGTGCAGAGGACGGCGGGTGGGTGCGATGCCGGCCCCCCCTGGGATAGTGTAAATTGATTTTTTTTGATGGACGATGGGGGAGAATCACATGTACATGTCAATACGACAAGGGGATGGTTAAGTCCAGGGGGGGAGGGTGGTAGAACTTATTTTCGTGTTAGAGCGTCGAATTAATTTCTGTTCGCAGTGAGTTGTCCATTCCACTGCTCGCGCAAACGTCCCACCCACCCACCCGCAATTTGGCTTGCAAGCCTCATGTGGCGGCGATTGCGATGAGTGCTTGGCGCTGGCTGGCGCATCTCTGCGGCCGCGCCAGCCCGCGCATGCGCGCGCGCAGCGGCCAGCGCGACCGACGCGGCTCCAGCGGCGCTGACCGCTCGGCACATCCCAGCGGGCTTCTCAGTGCGAGTCGGCGACTTGGGCGGGCGCGGCATCCTGGCAACGTCGATGAGCGTAGAGACGATGACGATGATAGTGGCGACGTTGGTGACGATGCTGACGGCGACGACGGCGCGGCCAGCGAAGGCGCCGATGCCGATCGCGCCGACGACGATGACGGCGTCTTCGCGTCGGTGATGAAGGTTTTGGAAGGAGTCCGAACTGCGCGCGGCAGTCGCGCGAGGGCAGCTTGCATGGTTTTATATAGCGCGGATCGTGCCACCCCAGCACGCGCGCAAGGGCGTTCGAACGGTTTCGACATGCGCTCGCGCGAAGCCCGTCTGGTAGCATTTTATGCGAACGTTGACGTATTTACAGTTTTTTGACATGCTCGCAAGGGCGCGCGCGCTTTTGTTGAAAATCCGCGTTGCGAAACCATGTTATATAATGTTTCGGGGCACTCGCTTTTGAAATCTTTCCGACACCGCAGGTGTTTGAAGGATTTCGGCACGCGCGCGCGACGACGCGCGCGCGTGTACTTCGTCTCATTTTTGGCCGAGGATTCTCGCGACGGCGCGCGCGCAAGGGCGTTCGAGCGATTCCGACATGCGCGCGCGAAGCCCGTTTGGCAGTATTCTCTGAAAGTTGGTTAACACATTGTTTTCTGAAGAATTCGCAAGAGCGCGCGCGCTTTGCCTTGAAAATCCGCGTTGAGATTTTTATATATATATATATATATATATAATATATATATATATATATATATATATATATATTGCGCTCGATTTTGACATCCTTCCGAAACCGGCGGTTTTTGAAGGGTTGTGGCGTGCGCGCGTGCGCTTCGCCCCGCCTTTGCAGGGAATTTTGAAGCGTTGTTTCTTTCGCGGGGGATGGCGGGGGGGGGCGATGCCGGCGCCCCCCGGGCGGTGCAAATTCATATTTCGGATGGGCGATGGGGCAGAATCGCACGCGGATTGCAATGCGAAGCGGGGGCGGTTAAGTCTGGGGGGGGGGGGGGCTATTTTTTTTTTTTGGGGGGGGGAAGGGGAATGTACGTTGCGCAATCGCAATCTTTGCGGGGCAGGCTGTTCGCGACGCAGTCGATGTCGTGTAATTATTTTCTTTTCGCAGTGAGTTGCCCACTCCGCTGCTCGCGCAGACGCCCCGCCCGTCCGCCCGCAACTTGGTCTGCAAACCTCATGCGGCGGCGATTGCGATGAGTGCTCGGCGCTGGCTGGTGAATCTCTGCTGCCGCGCTTGCCCGCGCGCGCGCGGCGGCCAGCTAGTTTGGCGCGACCGACGCGAGCGCGGCGGCGCTGACCGCTCGGCGCACCCCGGCGGGCACTTCAGTGCGAGTCGGCGACTTGGGCGGGCGCGGCATCATGGCGACGTCGACAGCGGCAGACGCAGCGACGTCAGTGGCGCCGCTGGCGACGATGCTGACGGCGACGACGGGGCAGCCAGTGACGGCGCCGATGCCGATCGCGCCGACGACGATGACGGCGTCTTCGCGTCGGTGATGAAGGTTTTGGGAACAATTCGACATGCGCGCGCGGCAGTCGCGCGAGGGCAGCCCGCGTGGTTTTATATATCGCGGATCGCGCCGCCCTGGCACGCGCGCAAGGGCGCTCGAACGATTCCGGCATGCGCGCCCGAAACCCGTCTGGTAGAATTGCATGAAAATATTGAACAGTTTATGTTTATCTTAAGAATTCCTTGGAACGAGCGCGCACTTTTCTGGAACATCCGCGCTGCGAAACCCTATGTTTGGGACACTCGATTTTGATGTCTTTCCGAAGCCATTGGTTTTTTTGAAGGATTCGGTACTTCGTCTCATCGTTTGCAGAGGATTCTCGCGACGACGCGCGCGCGGGCGTCCGAGCGATTTTGACGTGCGCGCGCGCGAAGTTTGGTAGTATTGTCTGAACTTCTTGAACATCCCATGGTTTTCTTGAGATTTCGCAGCGGCACGCGCGATCTTTTTATATAAAAAAAGAAGCCGCCTTGCGAAACCGGGTGTTTTTGTATGTTTTGTTTGGGGAACTCGATTTTGAAATCCTTTCGAGGCCGAAGGTTTTTGCAGGATTCCGGCACGCGCGCGCGACGACGCGCGCGCGCTTCGTTTCATCTTTCGCCGGGGGTTCTCGAAGACGCATGACTCCTGATAGGCGAGTGCGCGCGCGCAATAGTTTTTCAAAGGATGGCGGGGGGGGGGCGATGCCGGCCCTCCTGGGATAGCGTGAACTCATATCCAGGATGGACGATGGGGCCGAATCATATGTAAATTGCAACGCGGAAAGGTGGGCGGTTCAGTTCGGGGGGGGGGTAGAACCTATATTCTGTTAGACAGGAGATCCCATGTGTTGAAACTCGCCCATGCTCAATTTAAAGTTGC